AATCTGCACATCGTTATCGGAAGTTCTGATGGCCGAGGTGACAGCGCGTCTGCGCTTGAAGTCAAACCATTATTTGGGAAGATTGAAGAATACCGGACCACTCGTACATTATTGCGCGAGAAAGTGGGGCGGGTGGTTGGGGTGGAGGACGGGGGAGGGGGGTTCAGGGGGGTCTCTCCCCCCGGACAAAATTTTAATGAATAGATCTACCGGTCCGAGATTCTCTATTGAGAGATATTAAAAACGGGGAAATTAGGAATTCCTAAGGTTGAGACATAAGCAAAGTCAGTCCGCTGGTCCGGTTTTCTTCAACTTCAATCTTACCCATTATTTTTTTTAGCGTGCGTTCGATCCCGGTCCTGGACGGGGTTTTTTCTGTTTTTTTTGTTGTTGTTGTTGTCCTCTTCTCGACTGACCAACAAACTGTTCCCATAACTAGATCTTGTTGCTTGCTCGTTTTTTAATGTAGTGATGAAGCATGCACATTCTGGTTTTGTCCCCAAGAGGAGCTCTGTACAAAGTAGGCCTTGGTATAGCCTATACTTTTCCTTTTACCAATTTAGGCCTGGTTAAAGTTCAGTAATGGCTTTCCTTGGTCTGTGAGTCTCATTTGTTATTTTTTTTTAGGCTCAGGAGAAGGAAAAAAAAACAACCTTTCGGGACCGGGATTCGATGCCACGCTTGGAAGCTCTGAACATTAGACCTAGAGAACGTAGACAGTAGACAGCTTGTATACGTTCTCTGAGCCTAACTTAAAATTCGAGTTGCACCGTCTTGTTATTGTATATATCCAAGCGTCTTTCGACTTAAACTTACTCAAACTCAAAACTCAAATGATTATGATTATGAGAGATGAACAAGACGTCTACTTTTGCGCACACAATGTCAGAAACAATTGTTAGATCTAATCTAGATCTAGATCTACCCAATATTGATCGGAATAAGACAACGTCATAACAAAAGGAGTCCAATCCTAGGAGGTGTATGAAGAAACTGAGAAAACTTCCACAATTCAGACAGAACTACAATAGTTTTCTGTCCACGCGATGGCTACTACATCTAGATCTAGCGCTGGCCTTTCAAATAGCGCCTGCCTTATTTTTAAGTAACGCACGGCCTTGACCCTAGGCTCATTTTTTTCTTAATTTTGATTGGTTGAACCATTCAAGAGTAAAATTTTCGGTAAATTTTTACTTTCACTCCCGCACACAGATGCACTGCTTCGGGGCTCAAACTGCAGTACTGTTTGCAGCGGATCACAAATAAAGCCACTAAAACTGTTGCAAATCAATTATTTTTAAGAAAATCAAATCTAACTGTAAAATATCAAATTATGGGTTAAAACATGCCCCCCTGTAACCCCCCTGGGACCCCGCGATTGGTCCAAAGCACGTCTATCTCGATTAAGAACAATCAAATATTTCAAAAACTATAAATTGGCAACGGAAAGGAAGCTGATATTCGTGTTCCGCGCATCAATAGTCAGTAGAGCATAGAACACTGGGAGCTAAGGGTGAGACGGGACGGAAAGTTTCAAAAATAGCGGGCTGGGCAACAAACGTACTACAAAACCCCACCCATAAATACAAAAATAAATACAAAGCAACAACATAAGAGAGGACCATAGTATGGCGTGGCACAGCCAGGCTCCAAAGTAGTTCCGCTTTGGTTCAGTGCTGGCTCCAACAAAGTTCAGTCTTATACAAGAGTTATGTGTGCATGCGTAAGAGGAATTGTAGCAACTGATACTATCAGTGATAGCCTACTGCAAAGTCTTGCATTTACCTAATTAACTTTGTCCCCGACAAGGTCAACTCAACTTGGTTGATCTGTTCATACTAATGGAGCAGGGACGGCCAGTTTCCATAGGTCTTCATATAGTAAGGCTGTAGTTATTGGCACAGGGTGTGTGAATACTGTGTGAATATCGTGAAATGTTATTGGCACAGGGTGTGTGAATACTGTGTGAATATCGTGAAATGTTATTGGCACAGGGTGTGTGAATACTGTGTGAATATTGTGAAATCTTATTGGCACAGGGTGTGTGAATACTACAAAATATTAATGGCACAGGGCGTTTCAAAAGAAGTT